GCTTTCCTATTGGGATCTAGCTGGGGGCGGGTGGGTACAGAGTAGAGGGTCGGGGGAGGGCTTCGTTACTGCTTCTTTGTCAGGAGCCTCCTCTGCACACCCCGGGCACACAATCCCAGACCCAGCATATCTGGAGAGGTAGTGAGATGGAGAAGTTGGGTGGGTCACAGAACAAAGAGAGCTCCTAATGCTGCATGGATGGCGGGGTTCCCAGACCACTACACTAGGTTATTACCATCACTTTGGGGAAGTTTTAGGAAAAAGCAAACAACAAACAGAATATAGCACAGTTCTCACATGTATCCGTGTATTGAAGGAAACTTGGGAAGAGATGTCACGATGTGAGCCCTGATTGTCTCTGGGTGGTATAAATACGGGTGGTTTTATTTTCTATTTCTCTGCTTAGCATTTTCTGGTTTTCCACCATCATATATTATTTGTATCATAAAAATAATTTAAAAATAGAATGTTCGTTCTTTTGGAGAGGGAAACGAGGCTGGGGCACCGTCACCAGCATTCCCAAGGCCCCAGCTGCCCCACCCTAGTTGCACTGCTCACCCCCAAAAGCTCTAGTCTTGGCCTGCACTTCCCCTGCCTGGGCCGCCTTTTCCCTCCTCCAAGGGTAACCACCCACCAGGCCAACCACAAGCAAGTTCCAGCTCAAGATCCAGAAGTTTCCTGGGAGCTCAGTGGTACTACTGAGGCTATCTGCCTGCAACCTGCAGTACTAGGACAGGTGGGTGCCTCCTGGCACCTGTGGCCTCAGAAACGCAGCTCTCCTGCTTTGCCCAGGGCAGCAGGACAGGGGAGGGGAGGGCCTGGCAGTGAGTACCATCTTGGTGGGTTTTACTGAACTACTCTCAGTTTCCTGCTGTCAAGCCAGGAGGAAGGCAGATGGAGCCCAGTTCTCTCCCCTGGTGCCATGAATTCTGCCATTCACCTGACCACGTTGGGCAGAGCTTTCTCTCCTGCCTCCAGCCCAAGCCAGCACTTAGGGCCCAGAGAATGGGAGTGAGGGCTGAGCCTTTCTGGCTCCATGGAGACCCCTTCCTCCAGATGGTGCAGAAAGAATCCTCCTAACCTGAAACCCTGACCGCATCTTTCTCCTGCTCTGAACTATTTCCAATAGAGGACAACTCCTGAGCTTGGCGATCGAGGATTTCCGTGCACCAACCCACCTAACAGTGCAGCTTCCCCTCCCACAGCAGACACTTCACAGCCTGTGCTCCAGCTATTACAAACTTTGCAGAGATCACCTGCTCCCCCGCGTTTCTCCTCTAAGCCTTTGCTCTCAGTGGGCCAGGAGTGCTGCCCCGCCCCACTTCCCTGGCCAGTTGGGTACTGTGCACTGTCTCCCCTCGCCCAGGCTGGCCCGGGTGCCCCACATCCCCCTGCAGCGGTCTGTTGCTGACTCCCAGTTTCCCTGTGTCATCCTCCCGTCTGGACTTGGCACTCCTTAAGGACAAGGTCCAGGCTTCAAGTGTCTCAAAGCGGCCCCTGTGGCCCAGGCCAGCATGTGCATGGAGAGGGTAAGAAAAGAGGCAGAGGTGGGAGGGCCCGGCTGCACCGCCAGGCTGCTGAGCTCAACTTCTTCTACTGACGAGGTTCTGCCAAGGTGACAGTTCCCACCTGCCGTCTGCCTGTCCCCTGGCCTGCCTGTCCCCTGTCCTGGCTCAGGAGAAACCTTCAGGCCTCGTGCCGCCCAGCCCTCCTTCCAATTGACCTTCCTATGCCCTTTTATGCCCCAAGAGGTTCCTAAGCTCCATGAGGGCAGGGCCTGGGAGCCACACATCTCCTAAAGAAATGGAGAAGGCAGTCACTCTCCCCAGCGTACAGCCCACATCAAGCCTCCAGGCTCTGGGGGCCCGGCTCCATGCCCACTCTGCCCCCGACAGGTCAGCTTTCCCCTCTCAGACTCTATTCCCTCCCTCTTCAGGCTGCAGAAACAGTCACCAGACCCCAGAGATTTTTCCTGGGGATTACATGAGATGACCTGGGCGTCTGTTGTATTCTTGAACGAGGGGCTAGGAAGCAACACACAGGGCCTGGAGCTTGGGTTTTTCTCACCCTTCAGCTGCTGCAACACGACTGACTTACATAACATTTGCATAAAAACAGCGGGTACTTTTTCTTTAATAACTTTTTTTAAAAACTCCAGTTCCTGTTCTCCAGGGGCATCCGCTTCTTTGTCCAGTCTCCTCCCCCTCCTGTGCCCACAGCTCTCCAGATTTGGGGGTGGTGTCATCAATCCAATTTATTGATTACGTCCTCAGTGAGGTGGAGGAAGGAAGGGCCATGTCCTCCCACTGCAGACCTTTGATCATCTTGACAGCTTCGGCTCTCTCCTGTCCCCTCAGCTCTGCCTTGGTTTCCCCACTGAGAAGGGGGGGCCTTCTGCTGTACTATGTGCCCTGAAACTAATACCCAAGAGGAGACCAGGAATCTGCAGGGAGCTTCCCACCTCTGTGCAGGGCACAGGCAGGGACAGAGAGATCATGATGATTAGGGCAAGGAGGGCGAGCTGGAGCAGGGGCAGGACAGACCACAAGTCCCTTATCACAGAGGAGGGAACCATACTGTGGAGGGAAAATAAATAGCGGGGCCCAGGGCAGCAGAGTCTAGGTCCCCCGGGGGGCACACTGACTGTAGGAGCAGCGGGCGAGTGGGAGCCCCGGCACAGCAGCTCCAGGCCCCTCGCTCGCCTCAGCCACTGAGGAAGAGACGCTTGTAGGCCTTGTTCATCTGCTCCAAGAAGATGAAAGTGAGGACAGTGTGGGGACCCAGGCGGGCATAGTATGGTGTAAAGCCCTTCCACAGACTGAAGAAGCCCTCGTAGCGGACGACCTTCACCAGCACATCCTAGACAGCCAGGCAGGCACGGCACTGAGGTTGGGACCTGGCCTCTGGGACCCTCTTCCTCTTACCCAGCTATCCCCCACCCCCACTCCCAGGGCATCCAATCCGGCAGCCCAAGCCCCTAGCCCTTCTTCCTCACCAGCCCGTTCTTGTATTCCGGCTTCCCGTCAATCATTCGCATGTTCTGGATCCTGAAGGAGAGGAGGCAGGGGCATGAGAGACATAAAGAGGGCTCTCCCGTCCTTCTCCAGGCCCAGGTCTGCATACTCACCGGGTCTTGACAATGTCCACAGGCATAGAGGCAGCAGTGGTGACCAGGCCACTGATCATGCTGGCACAGAAGTGGCACAGGATGTTGTCAGAGAAGTAGCCTGGAGGAGGCAGAGCAGGGGGTGGCAGTCAGCTCAGAGCTGGCCCAGGCTAGGCTGGGAGCTGAGGCCCCAGCTCTGGGTCTCACCTGTGTCCAGTAAAAACTGCTTGGACTGGGAGTAGGAGGCGAGCTGGGCAGCATTGACGACGACGGCCCGAGCCATGGTAGGGATGCAGCCCTGGGGTGGGGGGGATGGGGGAGAAGTCAGAAATGCCCAAGACCTGACCCCACATCCCCAGTCTCCAGCCCCTTCACTCACCCTCCATAGTGTAGGGACGCCCTCTTCCCGGGCAATTCGAATCAGGGCATTAAACACGTTTTTGTAGCCACGGCGCTGGTCAGCTGGAAGCCTGGTGGGAAGGTAGGGAGAGGCCAAGTTTGGGATAGACCACCCTGCTCCCACAGGAGCAAAGAAATGGAGGCCAGCATGCTGTGAACAGGTGAATGCTGTGCTCATCTAGAATAAGAAATCAGTTCTTTCATTCTAGATTCCAGGGAATGGGGCTGGGGACAGGCTCAGACCTGGAACTCACCGGCCGTCAGCGGTCATGCGGATAAGAGCCACCTCAGCTGGTGTTCCCACAAAGGCACCAGTTGCACCTGCAGTCATGCCAATCAGGGCCTTCAGCAGAAAGCCAGGGGGTGTACCATCAGCCCCAGTCAGGCGCTCAAATAGCACAGTATAGATACCAAGGCGAGTAGTGGTATAGGTGGCCTGGCGCAGCAGGCCAGCTGACAGCCTGGGGAGCGAAGGAGTCAGTGCATCAAGCCAAAGTCTAGAGCTGTCAACCCACACGCTACCCCCATCCTTTGGCCCCAGTACCCGGTGTAAATGCCCCTCAGCCCTTCTGCCCTCAGAATGCTGGTGAGAGCATGGAAGCTGGTTTTGTACTCTCGTGTCTTGGCTCCTTCCCCACTCAGCTGCATCCGGTTCTTCACTAGGTCCAGGGGCTGCACAAAAACTGTAGCTCCCATCCTGGGGGAAGACAGGGGTGGAGTCAAGAGCTAGGTGTCCCAGATCTACCAAAGCCCCCTGGAGCCCGGCAACAAGAGATCACAAAGGGCAGGGCCTGCCATGCGATTGACTACATGTTCAGGAGGCTGGTGGGCATGTGTACAAGAGTCTCTGCGTGTACCAAGAGCAATGGGTCTGAAAAGTCCAGGGGTACAGTAGGTGCCATGCAATGAGTGTTCCATGCAGCTCCCAGGGTGTCAAGCAGTGACCGAGAGATTGCATGCAGTCCGACCCAAGGAGGAGAGGTGGGCATTCATGACCTGGGACTCCACGTAGTCCAGCAGGAGCCATGCAATGACCTGAAACCCCAAACAGCCCCGCAGAGCCAAGCAATGGGTTGGGAAACTCTGGTGGCCCGGTGGGGGCCGTGTATGCAGCCCAGAAGGGGCCCTGCGATGGGTGAAAAGATCCTAGCAGCCCATCAAGGACCTCGTAATACGATGGGGACAGCAATGACCCCGTGTCACCTCGGTTCACTGCAACACACCCAAAGAACAGGGCCCGGTTCCTGGCACCCGTCCCTGCCTCCTCCTGTCCCATCCCTGGGGCCTGAGCTTACCCGGCCAGGCCCCCAAACAGGAACTTGACGGACTTAGGGGAGGTACGGGGCTTCCCGTTCACCCCACTAGCCCCGGGACTCGCCGTCGCCGCCATCGCCACTCAATGGCCCTCGGCTCCCGGACCCGTGCGCGCGCGGCCCCGCTCGCGCCCAAGGTGACACCGCGCGCGCAACAGGGGCGAGGGCGCGCGCGCACGCCCCGGCGCTCAGGGCCAGCGCCAGCTGGAAGTTGGCGCAGGCGCAGGCGCGAGCGCAAAGGCGTCCGGGAGTAAGGCGGAGCTGAAGGAGGAGCTTCAAGAATGGGTGAGGGGACGGGGTGCAGCTATTTAGGCAGCAAGAGCATAGGTGCAATTTTTACCGAATTGGAGTCGCGGGAAAATCGAGAGGAGGGTATTTGAAGATCTCGCGAGATCGAGTGAGTTAGACTAGCCAGAGTTAGGCGGTTTCTCGCGATAGATACAGGAAGCTGTCAGCAGGTGGGAGGGAGTGTCTCGCGAGACTTGAAGGTGCGGCGGCGGCCAGAGAGAGGAAGAGAGGTTTGTAAACCGGGCAGCTGAGGGATCCCGGGCACTAGCGCGGAGAAGAGACTAAGTCGTCTTCTGGGGCCTCGGTGCTCCTTTCATCTCCACAGGCACTCTCTCCACCTCTAACCTTTCTTTTAATCGGCCTTTTAGGACCGGAAGTCCTTCATCTTGAGCGTCCATTGCTGGAAGCGGCCTGACTGTCTTTGCCGGAAATCCTCTTCCAGGGGATGGAAAGACGGCCCACCTGGCCGGAAGTCCCACCTCCTTGAGCTCCCCCACCCTTCCAGAAGTTTTTCTGTCACCTGTGCTTGCCTCCGTTCCCTTTCCCCGTATTATTCCTGTACCAGAAAGGGATATTTTTGGTGTCTCCCTCCCAGCTCCATTAAACGGGTTGGCTGTCTCAATCCCCGAGTCGGGGGTCCTTCCCCGCGCCCCCATGTAGCTGGGAAGTGGGACCTGGGGGTGGTTGGACCCCTGGGATCCTGAAGGAGGGCAAGAGAGGGCGCAGAACTCCGTTTCTGCTCCTGTTATCGGGACGCGGCCTCCTCCGCCTCTCCCCTCCCGCTGCCATGCACCCTGCGGCCTTCCCGCTTCCTGTGGTTGTGGCCACTGTGCTGTGGGGAGCGGCCCCCACCCGGGGGCTCATTCGAGCGGTGAGTCTGAGGGGACGTTAGGGGAAGGGCGCTGAAGGGAGAGGTTGCAGGCTGAAGGACAAACATGGACTCTTTTGTCCGCAGATCTCGGACCACAATGCCAGCATGGACTTTGCAGACCTCCCAGCTCTCTTTGGGGCTGCCTTGAGCCAGGAGGGACTTCAGGTGATTTTCTTCCCTCTTTCCTGTTTCCCTGAATTCTCCCTGCTGGGTAGGGGTTGAGGAGCCTTTCTTGGGGGAAGCTGGAGGTAGGAAGAGAGTCAAGTTAGGAACTAAGTGCAAGAACACATCTCGTGTGGTGGAATCCAGAATCTGAAGGGAGAATACAAAGTCTACTTCTAGAACTCTGAGCCTTAGAAGGGAGACTGAAAATGGACTAAGATAAAAGGCAGGACGAGTGGTGCCTATCAATAGGGTCTCTAGAGCCAGTTACTGGTTTTATGACCTTGGGCAAATTACCTGAGCCTTTGTTTTACTGTAAAATGGGATAATAATAGAAGTTATTAGATGTATTATTGTGAGAATTAGATAAGCAGTTTTGTAGTAGTTTTTCACAAAGACTGCCACATAGCAAGAACTCAGTTGGGCCATAGATATCAGTATAGTTGTTTGTGAGATGAGTAATTGGAAAATTAAAGGAGGTGTTAAAAAAAATTCAACTGAGTAAATTTCAAAGCTCTTACTGGCTTTTATTTAATGACCCATGAATCAGGCAGCATTCCACCTAGCAGATAGAAAGGATCTCTGAAAACTATACAAAATGAAAGACTTATAGCCAGAAGGGGGTTGGGCAAGGAAGTTATACTAGCAAAGATTTGATTGTCTTTGCTAGTAGCAAAGATCTCCTTTCTTTAGGGGACTGCAGGGGTCTACCAGGCAGATTACCTCACTAGTGCTGACCAAGTAATTCCAGATACAGTGGTTTAAGATTCCATTCCTGGGGGAGGCTAAAATTATAATTAAGTATTGAGTTTGGTGACATGGGAGTCAGCACAAGTAACTCCATTTGTGTTTGGTCTTGTGTTTTTTTTAAACAGGGGAATATGTTCCCTAAGAGTATGTATTAGAGCAGGGAATGTGAAACAACTTGAGAAAGTGATGTGGATGAATGGAGAATTGAATTACAATCAGTGGGAAACTGGAAGGCAAAACAATTAGCTAGCAATGTGGAGTATATATTAGCTCATCTGGGAAAGGGAGAGGGATGATGGAGGGTGTGGGAAAGGGATGTTGTTTGATGTGATTGCATCTTCAGGAGGCTAAGAGAAGAGGTAGATGTCCGACTTTGGTGGGATGCTCAGACCCCAGGAATGAGCTCAGACCCCAGTGGGCTCAGACCCCACTGACCTGTGGGGGCCATTGTGCTTGGTGGGACCTGTGGGGAGCAGCACCTAGGGAGATGAAATCCAGCTGTTGTTTGCTTCTCTTCTCCAGGGCTTCCTTGTGGAGGCTCACCCAGACAATGCCTGCAGTCCCATTGCCCCACCACCCCCAGCCCCGGTCAACGGGTCAGTCTTTATTGCACTGCTTCGAAGATTCGACTGCAACTTTGACCTCAAGGTTGCTGAATGTGGAGTGGGAGCTGGGAGGCTGAGGGTAAAAAAGGCACCAGGAATGAAAGGTGGCAAGGCCCATGATGGCTCCTTATCTGCCTTGTCTCCCTAGGTCCTAAATGCTCAGAAGGCTGGGTATGGTGCAGCTGTGGTACACAATGTGAATTCCAATGAACTTCTGAATATGGTGTGGAATAGTGGTAAGGTTGGAGGATCTGGACAGCTGGGTTTTCAGTAGAGCTTAGACTGAGAGATGGCGGGAGGGCTGAAGCCTTAGGGAAAAGAAATCAGTCCTTTAGGTGGAATGGGGCAAGAGAGTCAAATGCCAGAGTTACCAAAGGATTCATGTGGAAGGTTGGGTCCCCAGTGTAATGCCCTAATCCCTGCAGAGGAAATCCAGCAGCAGATCTGGATCCCGTCTGTGTTTATTGGGGAGAGAAGCTCCGAGTACCTGCGTGCCCTCTTTGTCTACGAGAAGGGGTAGGACGTGTCCCTCCTTCCCACTCTTCCTTCAGCACTTCCATGCCAACCTGGAGTCCAAGCCCGTGTCCCAACCATCCAGCCTCAGGCCCATCATGCTCTGCCTCTTGGTACTTTCTTCCCATCCCCTTCCCCCTCCGTGGGCCCTGTCCAGAGCCAGTTACTTTGTCCCTCTTCCTTTGTCCCTTTGCCTTTCCTGCCCCTCTGATATTCGTCTTCCTTTTCCCAGGGCTCGGGTGCTTCTGGTCCCAGACAATAGCTTCCCCTTGGGCTATTACCTCATCCCTTTCACAGGGATCGTGGGACTGCTGGTTTTGGCCATGGGAGCAGTGATGGTGAGTAGTTCAGGGACCAAGACGGGAAGAGCTGAGGCCTTTAAAGCCAGACTGGCTCTGGGGTTGCAAGATAGGGCTGGTTTGTATGGGATTGTCCAGATTTGTTCTCTAAGACTGATCCATCCACCCACCCCCCCCTCCGCTTTCACCAGATAGTTCGTTGTATCCAGCACAGGAAACGGCTCCAGAGGAATCGACTGACCAAAGAGCAACTGAAACAGATTCCTACACATGACTATCAGAAGGGTGAGGAGGATGGAGGAGAGCAGGCCTTTCCCACTATTTCCCTGGTTCTGAAGGAGCTGGAGCCCAGGAGGAAAGCAGCAGAGATGGCAGGGAGGTGTCAGCTTGAGACACCACCTTTGCTCCTCTTTTTACGCATACGTAAAATGAGGACAGGACAGGATTAGAGCAGGAAATGGAAAGCAAAAATGATTAAATGTAATAGTTGGGGTTGGAGGGGGGTGGAGGACCTTGCTCATAAGAGAGAAGGTGGAGAAAGCAGAAAAATGGAAGGAGTGGGGAAGATTCCGCCAGAGAAGGCAGACACAGGTAAGGAGGGGCTGGGTCTTAGGCACTGGAGCCTCCAGTGCCCATATAAGGCTATGGCAGAAGCGCTGCCCCATTTCTGCTCCTCCCACCCCCTCTCTCTCCAGCCTCACACCTCCCCCAAAAAAACCACTTCCCTTCTTACCTCTGTTTCTTTTTATTTGTTCTAACCCCGGATTCCTCACGTTCTACCCTGCTCGTCTCAGCTCTTCCACTGGCTCTGTAGAACCAGAGAAAATAACTTTTGCGGGGTTTAGCTCCACCACAGGCCTCTCACAGTGAGTTCTTGTGGGCCCTGGTCCAGGATGGCTCAGTAAAAGAACTCCTTTCTTCTTCCACCAGGAGACCAGTATGATGTGTGTGCCATCTGCCTGGATGAATATGAGGATGGGGACAAGCTGAGGGTGCTCCCCTGTGCTCACGGTGAGGCCCTCACTTCCTGTGCCCCCCCCCCCCCCGCCACCAGCAGGCACCACGCGCTTCACCTCATTCCTCTTGGCAGCTTATCACATCCGCTGTGTGGACCCCTGGCTCACTCAGACCCGGAAGACCTGCCCCATCTGCAAGCAGCCTGTCTATCGGGGTCCTGGGGATGAGGAGCAGGAGGAAGAAACCCAGGGGCAAGAGGGTGACGAGGAAGGGGAGCCAAGGGACCACCCTGCTTCCGAACGGACCCCACTTCTGGGCTGCACCCCCACCCCTCCCACCTCCTTTGGTTCTCTAGCCCCAGCTCCCCTAGTCCTTCCTGGGTCTTCCACAGATCCCTCACCCTCTACCTCTGCAGCTGCCATCCTGGTCTAGTAGTCCCCTTTCTCCTCCATCTCTGATGACCTATTTGCACAGCTCCTCTTCCTCTCTACTGTCTTCTACGCTGAGGGATAGGAGACGAGGGATAGGAGTCGTTTCCACCCCAGGTTTCTCCCTTACCCAACTCTATCCTCTTGAAGAGGTTGGGGGTACAAAGGGATGGGGTTTTCATTTATTGGGTTAATAAAATTGTTTTTGTGGACTAAGGGTGAGATCATTCTCACACAGGTAAACTTCTTATCCTTTTGGGGTATTGTCCCTTTCTGCCATACATGGGCAAGGGAGTGCTGGGAGGCTAACCTGTAGTTTTTTGTTTTTTCTTTTTTTGCCGTATGCCAGCCTCTCTCGCTGTTGTGGCCTCTCCCGTTGCGGAGCGCAGGCTCAGTGACCATGGCTCACGGGCCCAGCCGCTCTGTGGCATGTGGGACCCTCCCGGACCGGGGCACGAACCCGTGTCCCCTGCATCGGCAGGCGGACTCCCAACCACTGTGCCACCAGGGAAGCCCTAACCTGTAGTCTTAAGGGCAGCCCCAATAGGTATCTGTTGTGACTCTGAGAAGGGGAGCCCCACCCACGTGTGAGGATGACTCAACTGGCCTCTGCCTTGCCCGCAGGCCTGGACCCATTCTCTTGGTCTGGATGGCTCTATTCCATTATCCACCAATTCAGTTAGCACACTGAGGACCTAGGTAGGGCTGGCCCACCTGGCCAGGTAGGCCTGAAGCAGGTTTTAATCCTGGACATGAAAGCAAGCTCAAAACCCTAGACTTTGTAGTGCCTCAACCCTTCTGCTGCTTCTGACCCCAAGCCAGGATGGAGGCAGATCACAGTGGCTGTCCTCCATCCTGACACCCAGGCTAAAACCACACAGCACCTTTTCAGTATAATCTTTTTTATTCAGGAAAAAAAAAACAAAAAAAAAAGTTTTCCAACCACACACAGGAGGGGTATGGGTTGGGGGAAGGGTGTCTGTCCATCCAGCCCAGGCCCCCAGCCCATGTGGTTTTGGCAGCAATAAGGGGTGTGGGGTAATGGCCCAAAAAATAAAAATGGTGTGTGTGTGTGTGGGAAGGAGAGGGGTGCAAAAGCAGTGGGGAGTGACAGACGAGGTCAGTACTGGGAACGCCGCAGGTGGGAGGCCATTTCATGACATTTCTTGTTGATCGTACCACCGTGGATACCTTCTTTGCCCATCAGCAGGACTAGCGCTGGAGGAAAGAGAAAGGAGGCTAGGACCCAGGTGTCACAATCCCACCCCCGGCCAGCTGTTCAGCAGCTGTCCAGCCCTGGGGGCTGTAACCCAACCTCATCTCTCCCAACCCCCCCCCACACAGGCAGGCTGTCAGTCACCCTGAAACAATAGGGCTTTTCAAAAGAGGAAAATCAAGCTTAAAGGCTGGAAAGGAACACAGTAAAATTTAGGGGTCAAAGGCTTGTGGACAATGTGTTGACTCCTGTGTTCAGGCTAGAAACGGCTGTGGATGAGCCTGCCACCTCCAAGTTTTAAGAAAAGAGCTCAAAACACAAGAGCTAAGTGCTGGTTTATGACTAACAGCCTACCTCCTCCAAGAAAATAAGAAGTTTCTCATGTGAAAAGGCTCAAGGCAAGAAGGAACTTAAGAGGTAATACAGTTCAACTTCTTTACATTGTAAGATGAGGAACTGAGAACTGAAGGGACAATCCAATGTCCCAGCATCCAGCAGGCTGGGAGTAGAAACCTGGTCTGGTCCCTTCATACTGGGTGATCCACACAGAAGAACCCAAAAAATTAATAGATGGAAGTATATTAGAGATTTTGGAGCTAGAGAAAGGGTAAGACTCAAACTCACTCTTGGAAGTCAGGGTGACAGTGATATTGAAGGTGGGGGCTCCGGAGGTGCTCTTGGTACGAAGATCCATGGTAAATTCCCCTTCCTGCATCAGTGAGTCCCGGATCACAGAACATTTCTGGCCCCCAAGCGTTAGCCCATTCACGAAAAAACTTGACCGGTCTTTGCCAACCAGGGTACCAACCTCAGCTGGCTGGAAGGGGAATCAAGCACCCATCAAGTTAGTCAGTACACCAAGGTTCCCACCTTCTTCTCCAAGGACCCACCTGCCTTCCATTTCTCCGGGAAGCTAAACCCCCTTGGGGGGAGATGTGTATGTTATGTGCTTTGTACACATCCGTGAAATTTGAGAGACTCAGGACTGTTGGAAGTTAGTACACAAAAATATCATGATCTTCAAACCTAGAGAACGGTAATAAGAAGGGACAACATATTCCTCTGAAGGCTTAGATGTTGTTTAATAAGGAAAGCAAACCCGGGAAATAAAGGGGGCCAAAAAGCAGTTAAGAGAATGAAGTGGAATGGAGTGGGGAGCCTTTGGATGCTCATAACTCCTTCAGGAAAAGCAGAAGCGAAGAGGGAAAGGGAGGGGGCGGGCAAAGCAGGCGAAGCAACTTTGCCCTTATTTGGTCAAAGGTTCTGCAGGAGTTGTTAGGGGCCCGGACGCCTGGGTCTCCAAGTAACCTAGAGTTTAGATCCAGGTATTTATGCTCTAAGATGAGGAAGCAGATGCCTGGGGGCTTTCCGGGAAAGTTGAAAAACTTTTGGAGGGGCCCTGGGACTAGACCCGGCAAGCCAGCCCTCGGGTCTAGATACCCCAGGGAACGTATCTCCCCCTCCCCCTTAACACCCCAAATCCCCACATCCGGTCCCCTCCCGCCCGGAAATCCCCTTCCCCCCCATTTCGAACTTCCGCTCCCCCTCCCCACTTCCGGGCAGTGTGGACAGAGGAGGTGGTGATGGGGACAGCAGTAGTCGTCCCTTATTGCTTCACTTATATACTGTCCTAGAACTTCTCACAAAGTTCCCCTGCTCCAGGCCCCGCCGGATGGCGGGAAAGGAGGGCGAGGAGACTTCCGGGGCTGGCCTCACAGGCATGTTGAGTCCAACGTGCCGACTTGGGGTGGGGGGAGGTCGTGTGGCGGCCTAGCCCTCTCTTACGGAGTTGGGAGGGGCAGGGAGCTCACGGAGGACGGGCATGGGACCCAGGCCATGCGACTGGGGCTCCCTCCCCCAGAAGGAGGAACAATGGTGGAGGGGGCGCGAGCTGGCGGCTGGAAGTAGAGCTAGGGGGTCCAGGGGTCCCCAAGTCCCTTCTCAATCACAGTCCCGAGCGGAAATTGCGGTGCGTGCCCGACCCACCCTGGAGGAGGCGGAAGTGGGCCGCCGCACCGGGCGGTGCGCCCCTCCCCGCCCTGTGTCCCGGATGTAACGCCCCGTCGCGGAAAGCGGAGCGGCGGGCTGGCTGGGCGCCGCCGCCCGGGGCGTAGGACTCAGGAGGCCACGGAGGGACCCGCTCACGTGCAGCCGCCATTCGCGCCACCTCCAGGGCAAGGACCGGGTCACGGCCTTTCGCTGCCCTCCCCAGACCGCGCCCGCCACTACCCAAGTCCCTCCCTCAGGGTGCAAGCCCGGCCAGTCTCCGCGCAGGCCTCGCAGTACCGTGATGTTGACGAAGGTCTTCCCGGGGACGGCGGCCCAGACGGAGGGCGAGTCCTTATAGCCCACGATGGCCGCGTCCTGACACACCCCGTCCGCCATGAGGTTTTCGATGTAGGCGTTCCAGCCGGCCATGGCGCTGCTACTGGGGTGCTCTCGGGGCTGCTGCTGGGGCCACGGGCTGGGCTCGGGCTGCCTCGGGCTGGCGGGCGGGGGAAGGCGGAGAGCTTGGGGCACGCGCTGCTGTCCGGACCGCGGCTCTGCTAGCAGTGCATCAGCCCTCGCACCGCCACTTCCTGCTCCTCCCCACCCCCCTAGATTTTTATTTGCAAAGGGCGGTGGGGGCGGGGCCTGCTCCCCATTCCCTCCCTCCCTCTCCTCGCCTGCCCAGATAGCGAACTTTGCAAGTGCAATTTTAAAAATCCCTCCCCCTACTGCAAAATTTGCAGAGTTCAATGGAAAGCGACGCAAAAAGGATGGGGGGACGGGGGTGGGTTAGGGTTAGGGCTCCCTCCACTTCGCATAGAATATCAGTCAGACTTCGGTGTACGGAAAGGGAGTGAGCCAGAGGGAGGAAGGAAAGTGAAAAGAGAAAGAATTAGCAAACTGCAAATTTAGCAAATTAAAGAGGGTTCGGGTAACTCAGGGTTAAACGGAATGACTCCCCCTTCCCCCACCTCTGCCGGGGGGGGGTGTTGGGGGAAAGGAACGGCGGGCGGCGGCGGCGGCGGCGGCGGCGGCGCCTGCGCCCGCGCCTGCGCCCGGGCCGGGAGGGAAAGCGCGTGGCGCGGTTAGGGTTGGCGGCTGGCTTCGCGGGCGCACGCCCGGGCGCACCGGGCGGGACGGATTTGGGCCCCCTGCGAAGGAAGGCCGGCCGGGGACGTGTCTCCCGCCGGGCGGAAGGGGCGGGGGCGAGGCGTGCGCATTACCGCTTCTGCCCCCCCCTTGATTTTATTTATTCAAGAAATAAGGGAGTAAAGGGAAATTTGGCAAAATACCCCGGCCGTTTTCAGAGTTGAAGGCATCCACCAGGGACACTTCTGTCCCCAGCATCTACCCGGTCGGCACAAGTGGCACTGGCTGGAGCCCACCTCGACTCCAGGGGGATTATCCCTCGCGCTGGATCAACTCCAGCCTCAGGCCTCACCCCCACGTCACAGCTCCGCCCGTCCCCCGGTCAGCAGTTTGGGTCACCGGCCGTGCCCCTTGGCCCGTCTCTGCAGAGGTCACGGAGCGACCGTGGGGCGAGACGGGCGGGCTTATTTTTCAAGGCGGAAGAATACTAAGCGGTTTCAAGATTGCAACTTTTTCAAGAAGGGGAAAGTCCCTTCTACGTTGGCCCGTTAAGTTTTTTCTCCTTTTTCAGTAAAACTTATGGTAAGAACTTGTGTGCGATTAGTTCACTCACCGCCCACCGGGAAGAGGGTGGGGCAAGACCCGGCGGCCTGCTTAGGTGAACTACCCCTTGCTGGCCGCCCGGGCAGCTGAGGGGCTTGGCCACTTCCGGTCCCTCGGGGGAGGGGCGCCTCCCGGGCGGGAAGGGGCTCTGCTCCTCTCGGGTCCTCGCCAGCGGACGTGGTGCCCTCGCGGCCACTCCGAACCCCAGGGGCATCCACGCTCCCCGAACCCGTGTTCCTCGACAGCCGCGGTGGCTGAGTCACTGGGCGGCTCGGGCGGGGCCTCATGCGGGCACGTGGCGGCGCTCCCCCCCCC